TATGTATGTGTGTGTGTGTGTGTGTGTATATATATATATATAGCTTACAGATTTTTAGCTTTCAGATCCTGTGACATAATGGGATAGGACAAAGGTTATATCATGAATACTAGGTCTTTGGACAGCTTACTCAACTGACATACTGCTTTTTGCATACTTTATCATATGGAAATATGTATAGGCCTATTCAGAGACTGAACATGTAATGAGAACGTCAAGTGTGAAACACATTTTTCTATACATTTAAATCAATATCACTTGTCACAGAACTGTTTTTATATTAATATTTTTAATAAAATGACTTGAATAATAGTAGCCTAGTGACTATAATAATATTAAAGCTGCTAGATTTTTCGCCAAAAAACAACGAAATTCTATTGTTGAGGAAGTTCAAACCATTGTGCTCAAATTTGTCACATTTACTAGGGTAAAACTATTAATTTACATTTAGTCATTCGTTTGGTCTTCAGGTCACGTCCATAAACACAGAAGTTTGGCTACTAGACTGTTGCTACAATAAACAGTTGTTTGAGCTAGTCAACAGGATAGCAATTAGCACGGACAATCCTTAACGGCAGCTCTCGCTGATGACCTCTTGAGAATCACCCTTTCAAAACAAACAAACCTCGAACTGCGGAAAGTCTGTATTTCAAAAAACGGAAAGCTAAACCTGTGCCAAAAATAAAACCTGAACCACAACTACAGATATGACAGCCAGCTTACTTGCTCAGATGAGGTCTTTTTGTTTTATACGCTTTGTTGGAAAATGTTCGCACAGTCTGGTGGTCTTGACGCAGTATGACAGATCCGCGCTGATATGGTGATTACCGGTAACCATGGAGACTCCGCAAACTATCGCAGAAGCACAACTGACGTAAAATAACGTAATTTTATGTTTCAACCACAGATGGCGATAGAGGCCGACGTTTAAGTAGGCTATAATGCTAAAGATATCCATTACAATATCAAAGGTGCAGCAGCGGGTAATATTGACAACCAACGGTTAAAATGAGCGCTGCATTCCAATTTCAAAATTTTGAATTTTGAGAGCGTTATTTCCCGCCTCCTCCTCCTCAGACTCGACGTTTACGCGGGTTGCCAGATTGAGTACAAGCCCAAGAAGCAACTGGATTGAGGAACAAGCCCAATTGACAAAGGAAGATTCTTTATCTGCCTTATCTGGTCATAAAGCCTTTTAGGTAGAAGCTTTTTTGGTCGACTAGAATATGAGTTTGTTTGCTGGATTTCATGGCTGCAATTCAGTGTTTTCCGCTGACTGGCATCCCCGGGTGTTGAAATACTATTGGGTAAATTGGAAGTGGGCGGAATCTCACAGACAAAAATAAAAACAGATATGCTGACACGGAATGCACATTGAAAGTAGAATTAATGGCTGTAACAATGTTTTCTGAAGAACAAGTATGTAAACTAAGCATGTTTCCTAAATATCTGCAAACATATTGTGGTATTTTTATGCTTTAGTTAAGTCAAAAAGAAGAAAGAAATACATACAACACGTTGAAGTTATAATAATAATAATAAATCAAAAAAGAGTCAAAAGTAATACATTTCTGAATTTACAGTAGGGATGTTTTCAGGGCCTTACTGATGGCCCTGATAAGGAACTTTTTTTTTATCTCACTACATTTTTCAGCATATGATGACCTTCAGAGAGAAGTGTAAGCTGCTGATGTGGTGTAAAGTTCTCATCTCGCTCGGTCTGATGTGACTGTCATTGGTCAGTCTCCTTACTGTCATCTGTAAATATAGGGATTGATAAATATAGTCACAGCAACCGGATGCCCATGATGCTGATGCACCACTTTTCATCATAATTCTGCACCCAGAACCAGACTGGGCCCCTTAAATAGTAATGTGCTAAAACACAAATAAGGGATGCGTGATCACATTGGAGAAAACCTGCTGTCGGGTGTTGATTCGCACTGTCTGGTGAGTGCCAATGGGGACGCGCGTCAGTTTTATAGCTGAGCCGGGAGGAGAGGCGTTGGCAGGGAAAGAAATGCACTCATCAATGTTTATTAATCATTTGCGTGATATGATACTGTAGAATTGTGGTATTTGAGCATGCACAATCGTCTTTGGCTACAAGTCGATTAACTTAATTAGTCACAGGTCTGTGTGAAAGCCATGCAAAACTGTTTCTGGTATAAGCAAAAAGCCGTAAGTGTCATTCTATCAGCTGTCAGTCAAAGTCATCTGCTGGGCCTGCTTTTTCTTTTTTAACACACACGTCGGAGTGTCTCAAGCTGTTTGCAAGGAATCAAGCGTCAAATTTTCTACATGAACCACATGAAACAAAGGAGCAACAGCTCACACATCAGAAAGCCCACTGTGTGTATCTATGAAAAGGACAAAAACTGCAAGAGGAGATCGAGTGATAGGGCCAAGAAAGCTGATACAGCATTATGAATAACTTGCTCACCAATGGATCCTCTGCAGTGAATGGGTGCCATCAGAATGAGAGTCCAAACAGCTGATAAAAACATCACAATAATCCACACCAATCCAGTCAATCAATTAACATCTTGTAAAGCGAAAATCTGCATGTTTAACAAATCCATCATGAAGATGTTTTAACAATGAACCATCACATCTGGTCGAAATATGAGTTCATAATCCCTAATAATGCTTTCTCCAGTAAAAAGTCCATCCTTTGTTTTCCTTCTTGTTAAGCAAAAAGCTGTGTGTTTGTAAGAAACAAATCCATCATTAAGGAGTTTTAAATTTAACCATTGCTTCTGGCTAAAATACAAATCCATAATCCATAATAATGCTTCTTCCAATGAAAAAATCCATCCCCATTCTCCTCTCACATCAAAATCCACCAACATATTTGTTTAGAACTGATTTGGATTGTTTTGCTTGCTTAATTTGTGCATATTTCTCTCCTGATTCAGATGAGATGACTAGGACTTTTAGCCGTATTTTAGCTGGAAGCAATCATTTTAAGTTAGAAACCTCTTATCAGCTGTTTGGACTCTCATTCTGACGGCACCCATTCACTGCAGAGGATCCAATAGTGAGCAAGTGAAGTAATGGTCTATTTCTCCAAATCTGTTCTGATGAACAAACAAACTCATCTACATCTTGGATCACCTGAGGGTGAGTACAATTTCAGCATATTTTGGTTTAACTAATCCTTTAAACTACATTATGATTGCTAGTTTGATATTACTTTTATACAATATTTAATATACAATAGTTAATATTTGAAGTTAATAATAAGTGTTAAATAACACACGAACAAGAGCTTTGAGTGATGAACAAAGGTGCTACATGTTTCATCAGCTCTGCCATGTGAAAGACAAGGTAGATTTCTATCTGCAAAGAGGTATTGCACATGAATGATTGTTATGATTCTTTTAACCTCCCTCACTGTCTTTGTCCACGCAACACGCTATTAACTGATGTTTCTGTGTAATTACTCTGTCTGTGTGTTTTACAAAAACGCAGACACTCACAAAAGAGGCTGGTATGTTTTCAAAGAAGCTAAGCGGCATGTCTGCAATAATTTAAATATTTGTAATCAAAACGGAAAACTCTCACTGACTGTTTTGGGTATACACAAAAAAAGCCTCGCCAATCAAAATAGTGTTGCGAAAGCACAATGTCAAAAGCAATTTACTTTCGAAAGATCGATGTAACCGCTGATGAGCATCTTCGGTTTAGCTCATGGATTTTGGATCGGCAACAGTCATTGTGCATTAATTAGAGCTCCTAACACTGATTCACAAAAACCAATCAATTACCGTTCTAGACTTGACTGGCAGTACCCTATAATTGGGTAGCTGTTTTCCTTTTCTCAAGTGCCCCGCAGCCAATCGGTGCAGACCAAACAGGTGGCAGCAGAGGAAACAAGCTCTTCCAGTCCATAAAACTGGCTAACTAGCTCCTGAAAGTTGCCAGCCTGCAATTATCATATCATTTGTGTTGTAAATCACACTGCTTCTTGTCATGGTATCATCACATGCAGCAAATATAACCCCCCACCACCAAAAAATGTTTGGGGAAAAAAAGAGTAAACATATTTCAGGCCATTTTCAAAAAAGATCGTTTCATCGCAAATATACCTGTGTATAGTAGCTGTGAAAACTGTTCATAAATCATAAATATGTGTGACATTGTCCCTCCCTACTGTACTACGTTGCACAATAGACTCAAACGCAGCTAGTATGTACTTCCTCCTTCTCAAGTCCAAACATCCCCAATTCCAGCTTACCCACCCACATACCAAATTATTATCCTGTCATCTAGACACAAGGATGTACGACATTTTTATAATGCCTTATGTCCATCATATCTTAAATAATTGGAAAAGTAATAATCCTTCCATCTGGTTTTTGTTTTCCATTGGCTGTTATAATCATGACAACCCATAGACTAATATGTTGTTTAGTTTAGTCATTTGCGCAGTTATCGGATAATTTTATGAATACTTGTAATTAAAACACATACAACACTGAACAGTGACACTGTTGTTTATAGCCTCGCTGAGGTACTGTATGTTCTCACCCTCTAAACACATGGTAATTGCTCAGCTGCAGTTGATACAGCCACAAATGAGGCAAATTAGTCACTGGTGTAAAAAATAAAAAGTTAAGAAAACTTAAAGGGGTCCTGTTATGCTTTTTCACTTTTTCAACAGGACTGAAAACAGCAGCTGTATAACAAGCAAATATTAATTTTCATTGTTTATTAAACACATGTAACATTATTTCAGGTTTTTCCTCATTTGTCCTTATTGTTAAAATATTAGTTCTTTCCTGAGACTTTGTTCACAGCTGTAAAAAAATAAAAAGTTAAGAACTTAAAAGTTTAAGGCAACCAGCTTCAGCAGATTTTTGAGTTTTCTCAACTTTTTGTTGTATAAACTGAAAACAAGAAGTTGAGAAAACTCAAAAATCTGCTGAAGCTGGTTGCCTTAAACTTTTAAGTTTTCTCAACTTTTTATTTTTACAGTATAGATAAACAACTAGATAAGGTTTTTTTTTAACCAACGGAGATCATGATTTATATAAAACACCAACTTGTAAAGAAATTGTCTTAAAAATAAATAACATATTAAGTAAATGACTATCAATTTTTATCTTCCACACTGAAAAAAAGGCTGTAGAATGAGTTTTCACTCAGAAATCGCTGTAGTGAATCTCACAAACATAGTAACACTGAATTAAATATGACATTTTAAAGCAGAAAGACATAAACATACTCCAGTAATCTTTGTTTTATTCATAACTTTGAAAACTGTTATTGTTATAAATACATTTTGAAAAATATTTTTGATTAATTTGTTTATTATTATTTAATTAGCCTATTATTTAATGTCAATATTTATAAAAAAAACAAAACAAAACAAAACAAAAAAAATATATATATATATATTAAATTTATTTAGTAATTTAAATAAGTATCACCAAACTGGAATAAAAATAAAACAAATTGGTTTAGAAACAGTTTTCTCTAAGAAATTGCTAGTAAATTTCCCAAAGAAATACAAAGAAACACCTGAAGTAACATACTGAATTATATGTGAAATTTTGAAATATTAAAATTGAAATAGTATTTTGTTGTTGTTGTAAAATGTACAATAATCTTTGTTTTAGTTTGAAAAATATATTTTTTTACAGTATATGAATTATAAAAGTTATCAAAATTAATGGACGTGCTGCAAATTCATAAAATATACCTGCTGTATTTTTATTTCTCAAATGTATTATTTTAGTAGTTGCACTCAATGACCAATTTTGCATTCAAAATTAATAGGAAAGAGAATTAAACACAATGACCAAAGTTTCAACAAT